ACCTACCGCTCCCTTCCCTGCCCACAGTTCCCCCTCCAGGGGTCTCAACCCGGCACCTTTGCGCTTTCAGTTCTGCCCTGACTTCATGGCTTGCAGAATATGGGAGGGCCTAAAATGCTGAAGTTTCCTTGATGGCCTCTGATCCCGCCCTGCTGTGTGACTGGCCCTCTGCCCAACATCTCTGGTCCTCTGCCTCAGCCCTGGGGCAGGATGTGCTACTCTGAGTACTGAGTGATCAGGTGATCAAGATCCTTCCTGGGCACAGCCACCCTCCCCATCACTCCAACCCCAGGCAAATGTGCCAGCGAACTCCCTCTCCTTTGGAGCAGACTCCAGATGTGCAGAGACCAGGATCCACCCGTGGGACAAACGAGCACCGCGCCAGCCTCACTCACGCCTGCCCTGCTTACAGCCCTGAGACACGCCTTCCGGGAGGACCTCCAGGAGCCACCCCGAGTCTGCCTGTGCACACTGCACCTTTGCTCTGCCGGTCACCACTCTGCCCCACCCACTCTGGCCTCCCCCACACCCTTGGTACCCAGCCTCAGAGGCAAACGCATCCCTGTCCCCCAGGTTCAGCCAAGATGGGGCCACGAGCTAGAAAGAAAGTAGGCTAAATGCCCATGAGTGATGCCAACTGTGCCAATCTGCAGCTAGAGCTTAGTTCTGCCCCATTCAATGCCTGTGCTCTGCACACATTTCCTGGGTGCTCACAGCTTTCTCCCATTTCATTTTCCTTGAAAGCCTCAAGCCCTATTGTGCAAGCAACCCAAATGTCCATCCACTGAGGATTGGAGAAAAAAATTGTGGTACTTTTATATAATGGAATATTATTCAGCTATGAAGAAAGATAAACTCGAGGCTTTTATAGGTAAATGGTCACAATTAGAGACCATACTCCTAAGTGAAATAAATCAGACCTGCCATCATATTGCCTCACTAGTGTAAGATCTGAAAGATGAATAAAAACTAGGAGGTATGATAGACATTGTGAAACGAAAGGAAAATGCTCAAAAGAAAAGGGCAACTGGGGTGAGGGAAAAGAGAAGGGACAGAAGGGGAAATTATATAAGTATGTATATACAGGAGAGCTAACGTAGTTGTACTACTGTCTTCTATTGCTCTATAGAAAGGAACAGTTAATGATTACTTGTTTGATCAATCTTGTATATCTCTATTTGTTTTCCTGAAAAACCACTTTGTAGTTATCAATAAGTAATACAACAACCATGGTTAATTGCCTACAACTTTGTCTGTAACTGTTTTGTTTGTGCTATTCTTATGCTATTTTGTAAATGGATGTCTGTCTGTTATTATGCTTTCCTTCTTTTATTTTTTAAAACTAAAAAAAAAAAAGCCTCAAGCCCTGTCACCCTCCCCCAGGAGGCGCAGGTGTGTGGGACCCGCGTCCTTCCTTCTATCAGCCCATAACTACTCATCTCCAAGTCCAGCTGCCCCTCCCCATGGCACCCCTCACTCCGGGTCGCCCTCCCCCATGTCCCTGTCCAGACCTGCGCTGGGAGCCCCTGGAGTCCCAAGTGTCCCTCTGTCTACACTAAAATCCACCTTCCAACCAGGAAAACAGGCTCGAAGGGGAATAGGGGACCAATGGCTTGATGTCTTAGTTCTCTAAAAACTGAGATGAAGCCTTGGACATAGCAAGGGGAGGGGGGGCCCCATGCAGAGCTCTCTTATGGCTCTGCTCCAAAATGGGGACTGAGATGATCTTTAGTGGGAGAAAGGATAACAGGCCCCTGAAAACTCACAGAGCAAGTCCGCATTCTCCTGTGTAAAGGGGAAGGGATAGAATATGTTTGTAAATTCTGAGGATCACCCCTCAAAAACTTCCTTCCTCCAAACCAAGCAGGTCTGGGGAGGCGGCGGCATGGAAGCCGATGACCAGGGGACATGTTGTACAGGGCACAAAAGTCTCCTGAAAATGGGGGGGTGCAAAATAAAATTTCAGAATATTCCCCCCTCTAAAAATTAAAAAAAAAAAGCCTCCCCACAGCCGAGAGCCGTGGGTCTGGGGCCAGGTTGGAGGTGGGTGACTCACCTGGGCGGGCTGGCCAGCCCCGGAGGGCGTGGAGTCGCCATGCAGGTGGGAGCAGAGGGAGCTGAGGAGGCACACAGGGTCCACGGTCCAGCCGCCGACCTGTGTGTGTGAAGCGGGGGACACCCCATTAGGGGGAGCGGGCGGGAGCCGCTGGGGCCGTGGTGAGGCAGGGCGGGGCACTCCTGGGGCAGGCGAGGCCCAGAGACCACACCGCAGGGGGCAGGGGGTCCCTTCCTGGGCAGGGTCTTGATCTAGGGCCTGGGGTCTCACACAAGAGACCCGAGGGCCTGGGGCAGGGCCCTTACCAGACATCCCTGGAAGCTCTACATCCGGTCCTGACTGCACCTGCTCCCGTCCAGTCCCCCGCACACTTCCCCTTCTCCCTCTGCCTCCTCACCAAGGGTGTCACCTCCACCTCACAGCGATGGGGCCATGGGAGGGAGTGGCCTCACCCCCACAGTCTCTGTCCCAACAGCACATCTGTCATTCTTTGGTCTTCTTTTCCTTTTTTTTTTTTAACACCAGGAATCAAACTCAGGGCCTTGTGCTGGCTAGGCAGGAGCCTCACCACCGAGCTACGTCCCCAGCCCAACATGTCTTTCTTGCCATCTCCGGAAATGACGTCCTTCTCCTATTCCAAAGCCACCAGGCCTGATTCCCCCTGGCCCTGTTCCTGGCCCCCTGGCCCTCTGGCCAGCAGCTGCACCCTCTCTCCCTCCTGACCTCTCCCCCTCCGTGTTCCGTTGCACCATGGAGCCGAGGGGAGGGGCCCGGCCCTGCCACTCACCCTCCTTGGGAGGGAAAAATGTTTGACAGAGGAAGGGAAGGAACGCCTGGCGGAGCTTTGATTCCCTCCCTGAGTGTCTGCTGAGTGCTCCCTGAGTACTTCCGAGCCTCCTCGAGCCGAGCCAGGGAACATGCTAGGCGCTGCGAGGCCCACAAACTCATCCACGCCCTCTCACCAGGCCTGCGCCCCTTGAAGCTGCCGCCCCGGCTGTCTCCGTCCCTTCTTGGCTAAACCTCTCCGACAGGTGTGTGCCCCGGACCGCTCCCAGGTCCTCGCCATCCCCGATCGCTCTGACCCCTGAGGCGGCTGTTCCTCCGCTCCACCAGCTCTCGGCGGCCCCTTAGACCCAGGGCTGCAGATGGCTGACCTCCTGCCCACCCACTGGACTTCCGCCGCAGGTCACCCCGCTGCTATCTCCTCCTGCAGGGCCTTTCCCCTTCCTCATGGTGGCAGAGGTTCCTGGTCCCCTTCTCCAGTCTTCACAGGCGCTCTTCCCCTCTCGACTAGAATCTGCGTGGCTGGCCCTCCAGTCCCACTGTTACGGCTCCTGCAGCCGTGTCCCTCTGGAGTTGGTTTGTGCGCATGCGCCAGGGGGTGCGGTTGTGAAGGCCCCGCCCACCCCTCTCATCTACTTATATTCTTCTCCCCATCCACAAGCCTTTCCCAACCAGCTACCAGATCTCCCTGTCACCCAGATGTCCTCTGTCATTGCCTCCTCCATCAGGGCAGCAGACAGCCCCCACTTAGTGTCCCCCATCCGCCAGCCTCCTTGATACACTATTCCCTTCACCCCTGGAAACAACCCAGCGCTCCCAGCCCCCATGTTCAGCCCCACCTCATCCGGGGTCTCCATGCGCCCCACGGCCTCCCCCGAGCCTTCTATACCAGCCAGGGGGTCTGTGCCACCCCCACAAACCAACGCAGGCCTATGCTCATGGGACTCCCCTGCACCCCTAAAATAACGTTCTCTTCCTCTGCCTGTCCCAGCCCTGGCATCCTCCTAGGCCCGGTTTGGGGACCTCCTCCTCCAGGAAGTCTGCCCACTGACGCCCCCTCCTCTAAACCCCTTTACTGTGCCCGTCATACAAAATGCAATCGTCCTTTCTCCCCAGCTAGGGGCGTGTGACGGCAGAGTCGGGGGAACCCCACGGGGCATCTTCCCAAAGACAGGGCCACACACTCATCTGCAACTGGCCGTGGGCCCTGCTCCCAGGGGTACTGTGGAGCCGGGAAGAGGCCAACACCAGACAAAGCTGGAGGTGACATCAGGGGACAGACAAGCACCAGCAGTGTGTCCATGTGTCCTTGTTCCTGCAGGAAGGGTGAGGAGACACCCAGGGGTACCCAGGAAGGGGAGACTGAGCTAGACAGGTAGAAGCAGGGACTGACACCCCAAGGCCTGCCGGACAGGTGGTGGCTGGGATGCAGGCCACCCCCGTTCCTTCCCCCGGGTGACAGAGCCTGCATCTCTGCAGCCAGGACGCAGCAACCAGCAAGGCCCTCGCCAAGGCAGCACTGAAGGTAAAATGAGGCGGCACTCGTGCGTGCATGCGTGCGTGCCTGCGTGCCTGCATAGGGGCGTCAGGACCCCAAGGGTCCCAGACAGCAGGCGGTCCTGCTGCAGGCCCGAGGCCCAACTCCTCTCCAAGCCTCACTGACAAAAGCGAGAAACCAAGGCTTGGGGAGTGGTGGCCTCCAGCTCCGAGTCACACAACGAGTCTTGGAGGGTGCGGACCAGGGAGGATGGAGGTAAGAGCCGCCCTTCTGGGGTGCTCCTCGCAAGGCCCGGGGACGCCGAGATCCAGCCTGCTGATGAGGCCCCAGCCTGACCTTTTAGGGCCCCTCTTGCAGAGGAGCCAGGGCAGAGCATCCAAACTCCGACACCCTGGCGGGCAGCGGGGTGGGCCTCGGAACCACCCCTGCCCTTCCTCCCTCCGGGGCGCCCTGGGCGTGGTCTGGAGGCCGAGCCACCCCTTCCCGCCCAGGCTAAGGAAAAGCCCCCCAACCCGCAGCGCCTCTGCTGCTCCGTTGCACCTCGGGGCGCGAGGTCCCCCGCCCCGCTCCGCCCCGCCCCACTCACCTGCTCTCGCATGCGGTCCTGCTGGCCGCGCAGGGCCAGCGCGTGCTGCGGGTACTTGCTCTTCAGGTGGTCCATGAAGGCATCGCGCTTGCGCTCGGCGTCCGCCTTCTGCAGCCCGCTGAGCGCCTCCAGGCTCTGCGCGGCGATCACAGTGTGCCGCCGCTCGGACGTGTGCACCAGGCCCACGTTGGAGAAGCGCCGGCCCCCGGAGCCCCCGCCCCCGCCCCCCAGGGTCCGGTACTCCCGCGGGTACTCCGCATCGTCCGCAGACAGCATGGGGGGGCTGCTCCGCTCCGGATCTGCGAGGGGGAGAGGGGCGCGCAGGGTCACGGGGTGGGGGGACCCTTCCCCCTTCAGGGCCCCCTAAGGGGCGGGGCCTAGGGGACCGCCCACCCCTCACGGGGGGGGGGACGGAAGGGGGCAGAATTGTGGCCCGGATGCGAGGGAGCAGCGGGAGACCAGAGGAGGGGTGGGGGGCAAGGCCAGGAGGCCACTGCTTGCTCCTCCGTGGGCTTGGGGTGCGTGATGGCAGGGATGCCTTCCTTGAGAGCAACCCTTCTTGAGGCTGGTGCTCCGGGAGGGAGGGGGTCAGGTGGGGGTGTTCCCCCACAGTGTCCTCTAAGAGGGGCTGCACTGCAGGGCCTCCCTGGGACCAACACTTCCAGTCGCAGGACCCTGGGGCTGGGCCTGTAGGCAAGAGGCCTGGCCGGGCTGGGACCCTGGGGGAATTAGGAGACACCCCAAGGGGGTGGGAGCCCAGGCAGGGGCAGGCACAAGGACCCTGTTCCCCTCCCACCCCAGAGACAGACAGATGGACGGACAGGAGAGGCTGGGCACAGAGAGGACGGTGGGAGACGGACTGGGACAAACTTAAAGGGGAGAGAAAGCAGACAGAACAGCGCCAGCCTGCAGGCCCCTTCCTCAGGCTGCTCCAGAGGGCAGGCACAGGGGACAAAGGACAGCACAGAGCGGGGAGGGCAAGGCCGGGGGCAGAGGTCCCCACGCACAGCTGACTCCCTTTCCTAAAGCACTCCCCCAGCTCCTGGCTGCCCCAGGCCCAGCCCCTCTGCTCCCACACTCCAGGTACGTCACCAGTAGTCTGGGCTCCAGAAGTCCCCCCCGGCCCCCAGGGTGAGGATCCCAACCACACTCCTCAGCAGGAAACAGACCTGTCCTCCTCTGCCCAGAAGTCAGCCCTCTGGGAGACAAGCAGTGCCCCCTGCAACACCTCCACCCCACAGTCCAACACTCAAGCGGCAGCCCCTCTTATAGCCTCGGCCTGGGGTATGCACTCACCCCCCCACTGCCTGACTCCCAGGGGCGAAAAGGGCTGAACTGACAATTCTGGGACCCAGCCAGGCTCTCCAGCATGGTTCCACCACTGTCCGCAGGCCTGGCGCCAGGCCTCAGTCACTCTTTGCCCAACCACAGAAAAGGATACCCAGTTGCGTTTCAAGAAAAACTGCAGCTGGGTGTGGTGGTGCTCACCTGTAATCTCAGCACTCGGGAGGCTGAGGCAGGAGGATCACCTTGAGTTTGAAGCCAGCCTGGGCCACACAGTAAATTCAAGGCCAGCCTGGTCTAAACAGCGAGACCCTCTCAAAAAATCAAACACACACACACACACACACACACACACACACACGTGCACACACACGCATCCCACTTCTCCCCATTGGCTACAGCTGAGGCATGTACGTCAGCTGCCGCCCACCAACCACGGGAAGAATGGCTCCAGATGCACAGATCAGCATCTTACCAAGGGCTCCCCATCCCCATCACAGCCCCAGAGCCTCCAATACTGCTATGGGGAGGTGTCACTGTGACCCCTATTTCAGAGATGGCTACCAACGCTCAGAAGTCCCACGAGAACCCCAAACCAGAGGAGTGACAGAAGTCCAGTGACCCCGCTATCGACTAGGTTTGCATGGCCACGCTTCCCTCATTAGAGGACGATTATTTATTGGGACAGCACTGACCACTGTGCCACACCACACCGCACCCACATGGGCTTCCTGCTGCTCCCCCTGCCAGGCCACCCACTGGGTCTCCCGTAGGCATCACTGTCCGTCTGTCCCTCTCACCATTCACTATCCCCTGCTGTGCTATCAAGCGAGGTCCAGATACACAGAGACGACTCTGAGAGAAACATTGTGGTGTATTTTAATCATTGCACTTTTATTTTTACAAGAACTAGACAAATCCCAATGACAAGGTCAAGCCATTGGTTTCATGAATATTTGTTAGGGTTTCTATCTGGATGTCTCCCAAAGTCGCCTGTGCTCAGAGATAGAGCTCTGGAAAGGTGAGTGTCTCAAGGAGCGTAGAGCTCATCCATAGATTTGTCCACCAATGGGTTTACAGCTGATGTGAAGCTGGTCTAAGAAAGTGTGTCACTGTGGACGTGGCCTGGAAGTCACTGTGGGCGTGGCCTGGAAGGGTCTCTCTCTCTCTTACTTCTCTCTCTCTCTCTCTCTCTCTCTCTCTCTCTCTCTCTTTCTCTGTCTCTCTGTCTCTGTCTCTGTCTCTCTCTCTCTCTCTCTCTCTCTCTCTCCCTCCTCCTCCCTTGATCTCTCTCTGCTTTTGTTTGTTTTTTGAGACAGGGTCTGGCTGTGTGTAGTTCAGGCTGGCCTTGAACTCACTGCATAGCCCAGGCTGTCCTCCAACTCACAGCAATCCTCCTGCCTCAGCCTCCCATGCGCTAGAATTACCAGCCCACCAATCCTTCTCTGCTCCTGTCCACCATGCCATGGGCTGCTCCTCCTCCACCAGGCCCCTGTCAGGCCACCCTGCTTTGGAGGAGCCGACTCTGGACTGGAACCTCTACAAACTGTGAGCCAGAATAAACTCCTCCTGTCATTTATGAATGTCAGGTAGTGTCTGCGGTGGCAGTGAGATAGGAATTCTTCTTTTGAGGGAGATGGGTACTAGGGCTTGCACCCAGGACCTTCATACTAAGCTACATCCCCACCCCATTCCACCCCCCTTTAATTTTCTTAAATTGTAAGTCAGGGTCTTGCTAAGTCCCTAAGCTTCCCACACTGGGCTGGAACTCACAATCTTCCTGCTTCAGCCTCCCAGGGTGCTGCGGGTATAGGTATGCACCATTCTGCCTGTCTTAGCTTTCCTCTTAAATAAATGTATTTAAGATCAAAGTGGGTTATCAAAAACAATATTGAGTTAGCACAGTGCAAACAGTTCCCTGATACGGAGGAGACCAGGTGGGGGGTGGCGGCTGAGGGAGCGAAGCAGAACACAGGCTGGGCAGCGGGGGGCATCTTCCGGAGAACCACAGGCGCTGGGGAGAGTGAGCTCTGCCCAGGACCTGGCCCCAGTCATCCCCACCCCCGCTGGGCAGGGTGGAGAGGGCCCTCCCTGCCTCTGCCTGGCTCTCCATCTTCTGGCCCGGCCCAGACAAAACGCTGCCTGCTGTGCTAGGCAGCTGGGCTCCTCTGCCCTCCCAGCACCCTGGGCACCACGGCTGCCGTCATCTGGGACAGGCCCCCAAATTCAACCCTCGGGCTCGCTCCTGGCCCCAGAGAGCTCCTGCTCCCCCCACCCTCCATGCCAGTCTCTCCTTGTACATCTCCAGGGGAGCATGCACAGATCTGAAGCTGGAGGAACTGGGGGGCCCCAGGACTCAACCTGCTCCCCCAGGCAGATGAGGGCAGGGATAAGGGGCTGTGGGGAGCAGGCATGGACAGCAGGCAGCACTCACCCCCAGATGCCCAGGCATGGGAGAGGGGCAGGAGCTGGCACTGGAGCTGTCAGAGAAGGAAGGGGTAGAGCGATATCTGCATCTCATTTCAGAGAAGGGGTCATGGCAAGGTGGGGCTCAGATCTGAAAATCTTAGGAACCCCTTTAGGAACCCTCTAGCCCAGGGTGGTAGTATACGTCTGTAATGCTAGCACTCAGGAAGCTGAGGCAGGAGGATCGCTGTGATTTTAAGGCCAGCCTGAATTACAGAGCAAGATCCTGCCTCCCCTCAAAAAGTCCAGGCCAGAGGCACCTGGGTTTAGCAAGCTCCTCCCCACAGCTATTTATCAGAATAGCAAATCTCCCTACAGAGCCCAGGGAAATTGGGGATGTCACCTCAAGCCCTGCCCAGCTGCGCCACAATGGAGGGGCAGCACAAGGTTCTCAGTGATAGCCACTCCCAACTGGTGGCCTCCTGATCCCTGGCAGATGGCTTCTCCATCACCCCAGAGGCTCCTCCAGCCACCAGCAAGTCCTGGGGCACCCCCAACCCTCGGGGACTGAGCAAAGCACGGAAAGGCAGGGGGATCGATTTCAGTACAGCTGGGCAGGACCCAGGTTCCAGGTGGTGCCGGACAGATTAATGCTTCCTGTTTAGCGGCAGGGAGGTGACCGGGGACCGGGCTGAAATGGGGAGCACACGGGGGTCAAAGGACCCGGGGGTGGAGAGGAACAGGGAGGTATCCCCGCCCTCCCAGCACCCTCAGTGTGCAAGGGCCCCTGTGATTTCCGAACCAAGGTTGAGGCCCAGGAAGATGCGGACAGGGACGACAGCAAGCATCAAAAGAAAGGGAGGTACTGGCCGGGGACCCGCGGGTGTCGCCCTCAGCTCAGCCCTGCAGATGGGGAGGCGGTGGGCGCCCCCCAGTGGCCGGCTTCGGATGGAGGCGCAGGTGCCCGGAGGAGTGACATTGTTATTTGCTCCGCCGACTCTAAATTCCACGTTTATTTATGGGCCCGATTATTTTTATCCTGCATAGCATTCTTTTACATGAGATCACTGTCACTCGTCAGGAGAAAGAAGATTCCCCACCGTGGGGAATCAGCGCCACCGTGTCCTAAACCAGCAGCCCCGTCCCCACCTGGCGTCTTTCCCCGAACGTCACCATCCCCTTGGTCCTCTGGCTGCCGCGGGCTGGCAGTGTTCACACATGACGTCATTTCAGAGGGACAGGGGAGAGGGGGAGCGGGTCTGGGAGGAGAGGGACAAGGGACAAAGCGAGGGGGCGACCGCTGGGGACTCTGGGAGCCCTGCTGGCCACCAGGACCCCGTCTCCTGTCCCCAGTGACCAAGAGGCCAGACAAGGTCTCTCCCAGGCAGACCCAGACTGCCGCCCGGAAGTCAGGAAACGGGGCACTGGCTCAGGAGCCCTGGCACGGGCAGGGCAAAGGCAGAGGGCCCCAGAGCACCTTACACGCGTGCCCGCGAACACACGCACATGCCCACCCGGCTCCTTGGCCCCCTGTGCGGCACAGCGAGGGGAGCCTGAGGCGCTGCCACCGCCAGCGGTCCTGACAACTCCCTTCGGGGCCCTGCGCAGC